TAACTAATTTGTGTTCACAGATCAATGTATAAATGAAAATGGTCCGCAAACTAATTATCTTGTGCTACAACATGCCTAGAACTCAAGGTTCTCTCGAATTGTCAGATTTTGTTTGAGGAAGGATAGTTGGTCAAGCAGATGGTGGAATAAGTCAGCGGCAAATTTTGCAGAATTTGGGAATCCCGCTTTCGACAGTCAACAGAATCATCGTGCAGTTCAGGAAACACGGCAAGGAAACAACTGAGCAGCGTTCGGGTCGTCCTGGTCCATCGGAGAGGACAAAAAGGGCTGTCAAGAGGAGCATCAAAATGGATCCCAGATTATCAACTGCAGAAGTGGCCAAATTTAGTGGGATGAGCCCAAAATCTGTTCAACGGATTCTCCACAGATTGGGTTATCATTGCATAGCAGCTAGACGGAAGCCCTTATTAAGACCTGCCAACATAGTCAGACGATAGTCAGCAAGTGATATGATGACCAAGCTTCTAAACTTTTGGAAGACCGTATTGTTCTCAGACAAATCAAGATTCACTCAATTTTCGGACAGTGGAAGGATATGGATCTGTAGAATGCCTCACCAAGAGTTTTGGCTCAACAGATTGCAGCCAACTGTGAAGCATGGTGGTTTCAGCGTGATGGTTTGGGGAGCTGTTTGGGTTGGTGGGAGATAGAGCTTAGTGGAGTGCATTGGCTACATAAATTATGCAAAATATTGGAGGAAGGACTCTTGCCACTTCATTCCTCAGGTTTCGTGGACAAGAACACAATGCTGTTCCAGGAAGATGGAGCACCGTCTCACAATGCTAGAAACACCCAAAAGTGGCAGGAAGAAAATGTTATCCAGAAGTTGCCCTGGCCGAGCCAATCTCCTGACATGAACCCCATCAAAAGCCTCTGGGCCATACTCGACAGGCAAGTCAAGAAACAACCAAAAAACCAACTTCGAAGAGCAGTCTACTCAAAGTTTTGAAGCAAGAGTGGGGTTTTAGATTGTGGGATTTTTCGTTGACGAGATGATTCTCATGATGCCCCAAAGGATCAACGAACTCCACGAAGCAAAAGGAAGATCTTCTAGATATTAATTGAATTATAAATATATCAATTCATGTGAATATGACTGAAAAATTTCAATTTTTCTGAAAAGGTGGTGTCTATTTACTTGTTACCATGCTGTGTAAAACAGCCATACTGTAATAGTTTATCTAGAAAAGATCATGAAAGACATCCATTAGCAATCCATCAACAACAAAAACATGAAAGAAATAGTTTTATATATTGCAAAGGAATTAAATAACAGTACAGAAATAATTAGGATCTAATTAGTGAACATTCTCCATGATCCACTACTCCAGCGGTTATGAAGTGGTAAGTAGCAAAGGTCTCCTGTACTCCAGTTAATGTAGGGGGAGGGGAGAACTTGCACTGGGAAGACTTGGAGAGGGTGTCCAGATCCCCATCAGTCCAGAAGCCTTTTAGTGGAGACACTGCAATGGTGACTGTGAAACCCTATTTTTAAAACCCAGCAACTTGGCTCAATGTAGATTTTGGGCAAGTATACCCTGGGAGGCAACAATAGCTACCTAGCAGGATCCTATGGAATTAAAGAGAGGCTCTGAAAGGGAAACAGTATGCATTCTTCTCCAAGAAGAATAGCAATAGAATAGCAATCTATGTAAGCCTAAAGCCATCAAAAGCTGTAATTGTGACGGACAGTGCATCTAACATGGACATGGCAGTTAAACATATTAATGAAATACATATTATTTGCTTGGCACACTCTATTAATTTAGCTACTCAAAGAGGATTACAAATGTCTCATATTCTAGGCATAGTAAGGAAAGTTCTCAACTTTTTCCACTGCAGCAGTATTGCAAATGCCATGTTGAAGTCCAAACAGAAAGTACTCGGTTTGCCACAACACAAGTTGATGTCAATACAAGAAGGGATAGTTCATGTGATACGTTATCAAGACATCTTGAACAACAGCCCATAGTGTTTACTATGTTCATGAGCCCTGACATAAGATAAAAAAAAGCCATAAAGCACTTTTGACTCTCTCAAAGGACTATCTATGTAATTGTGAAGAAGCTGTGCACTCTTGAAACCATTCAAAAAATAAATCACAACCATGTTATGTGATGAAATAAACCCAATAATTTCACTGATACTACCCTTGCAATATCAACTTATATGATCCCTAGAAGAAACAGATAATGAGTCACAGCTTATCAAACAAGTGAAATCTGCCATATCTGCTGATTTGTCAAAGAGGTACAAAAATGAAGAGTTGCAAAATCTTCTACTTCAAAGTTCTGCACTGGATCCAAAATTTTCAAATGTCTGCCATTTCTGTCTGATGAAGAACACCACCTAGTGTACAGCAATGTTTTGTCTCGGAGCAGTAGGCTTTGTTAACCTTTTTCCGGTAATTTTATAATTCTATGCTATAATTTTTTTTTCAATAAAAAAGAAAACATTTCCAATATTGTTGTATCTGTAATCGTATATTATGTTAATAAACATGTATATGAAAAATTTTTTTTTAACAAAACAATTTACATTGAATTTTAACTTCAGTTTGTTTCCTTTTAAATGTATGTTGATTGTTGAAATACACATAAATCATTCAGTATGATTAAATTGAAATAACAAGCAATTATGAAGAAATGTAATAAAATGTTTGAAAACTTGGAAAATGTTTTTAATTCTTGTACTT